AAAGAACATGAAGTTGGGTAGGTAGGGGAAGGAATATATTATGAAAAAGTGTTTAATAAAAATGAAAAGATTTTGGCATGTGTCTTAGTTTCTTCTTGTTGTTTTATTTTGTTTTTGTTTGTTTTTCAAGACAGGGTTTCTCTGTGTAGCCCTAGGCTGGCCTCGAATTCACAGAGATCCACCTGCCTCTACCTCCTGAGTGCTGGGATTAAAGGTGTGTACCACCCTGCCCAGCTTAGTTTTTTTAAAGTATGTGATTTTTGTTTAGATATTTTATAGATTAGTTTTTCTACAGATATTCACACAGACGTTTCTATATTGAATTGTTTTTTTTAATTGAAGGAAAGCATGAACATGTCTCCAAGATGTTAAGATTATCTTGAAGCATTATTCAAACACAATTTTATTATTACAGATGGAACCCATGCCAAGATCTCAGTCAATTGTATTTTCTCTCCCAAGAATTTGACATGGCCATGGTAGTGCCGTGTTCATCTGCTTCTCCATCAGATAACTTTAGATTTTTCTCATTTTTCTCACTATTCAAAATTAGGTTGGAGGTGGGGAGCTGGAAAGTTGGTTCCACAATTAAGAGTGCTTGCTACACTTACAGAGAGGACCTACGTTCATTTCCCATCACCCACATCAGGCAGCTCATCACCCCTATAACTCCTGTTCCTGGCAGTGTGACCAGCTCTCATAGCCTCCTGAGTACCTGTACTTAATGTGGTGCACAGAAACTCATGCAGGCACACACACATACACACTACACATAGTACACTTCTTAATGTGGTGCACAGAAACTCATGCAGGCACACACACATACACACTACACATAGTACACTTCTTAATGCGGTGCACAGAAACTCATGCAGGCACACATACACACTACACATAGTACACTTCTTAATGTGGTGCACAGAAACTCATGCAGGCACACACACACACACACTACACATAGTACACTTCTTAATGCGGTGCACAGAAACTCATGCAGGCACACACACATACACACTACACATAGTACACTTCTTAATGCGGTGCACAGAAACTCATGCAGGCACACACACATACACACTACACATAGTACACTTCTTAATGCAGTTCACAGAAACTCATGCAGGCACACACACATACACACTACACATAGTACACTTCTTAATGCGGTGCATAGAAACTCATGCAGGCACACACACTACACATAGTACACTTCTTAATGCGGTGCACAGAAACTCATGCAGGCACACACACACACATACATATAAATTTTTTAAAAAATTTAAGCCCATATAAACATCTTTACAGCTAGCATTTAAGAATTTGGAGGCTAGGGGTTGGAGAGTTGGCCATTGATAAAGAGCACTCATTGTTCTTCCCAGGTTTGATTCCCTGAACCCACATGGTGGTTCATAACTCTAGTTTCAGGGAATCCAACATCCATGTTGGATTTAGCTCACACATGGTGTGTATATAAATGTAGACAAACACTTATATAAATAAAATAAGAAAAGTATTTAAAAAAACAAACTTGGGGCTGGAGAGATGGCTGAGTTGTTAAAGAGCACTGGCTGTTCTTCCAGAGGACCCAGGTCTGATTCCCAGCACCCACCTGGTGGCTCACAGCCATCTATAAATCCAGTTCAAGGGATCTGACATGCTCTTGTGGACCTCTTAGGCACCAGTTACACACTTGGTGCACAGAATACACATAGCCAAAGCACCCATATACATAAATAATAATTACAGTAAAGAAGAATTTTATGTTCAGATCATGTTTACTTGATAATTTCCCAGTTGAGATATTTGGGGATTAAATCCAGTGTAGCTTATCCATTCACTGTAGCTTGCAGATTTTGAATATTGTAATTAGAACTATAGCATCAAGTTTTGTTAATGATAGCTGAAGGTTTATCCTGTTGTAATTTGCATTTTTGTGTCTATTGAAATTTCTCTGTTGATTTTCTAACTCTAGAGTCTTACTCTTTATATCAGTTCATCTAAAGGCTTTCTGAACTAGAGTAGCTGACATGTAAGGCATTCTAAAGCAGAGGTTCTCAATCTGTGGGCTGCGACCCCTTTGGGGGTTTAACAACCCTTATCGCATAGTATATATCCTACATATCAGATATTTACATTACGACTCATAACAGTAGCAAAATTACAGTTATGAAGTAGCAATGAAATAACTTTATGGTTGGGGTCCCCACAACACATGAGGAGCTAGCTGTAGAGGGTCCCAGCGTTAGGAAGGTTGAGAACCACTGCTCTGGAGGTTTATTAGGGCAGCTAGGCTGGCTTTTCTGTGTTGTGTAACAGTTTTAAATGTTGGTTTATAGACTCAGGCTACTATGTATTACAGTTTGATGTTACCACTTTCTGACTGTGTGCCCTGCCTTGTTTTTCTTATTTGAAAAGGGAATAATCTTAGCTACCTCACCTACAGTAGCAGGGTCTCCACACATTTCTTAGAGCCTGGGTGGCCTCAGTTAGTGTGAACTTTGTCACTGTCATTATTTCCCAGTAACCTTTGCGTAGTTTGGGCTTGCCCCCTATTGCAGTCATCAAACTTCCATTTTTGTTCTTGCAGATCAGCCAAATGGCCGACGCCACAGTTGTGGAGCTTGACAGGCATCTGGCAGCAAAGACCAAAGAACTCCTTGGATGAAAGTCAGCAGTCACATATTCTGGTCATCCCTTAGGTGACAAGCTGGTGCCTACCACTCCCCTGTCCATCCATCAGAGGCTCTCACTGCTGTTCCTCCACGGAGGCCCTGCCGACTCACCGAATCTCTTCCTTGCATAGTGTTGTTCTGCTTGGAGTCTTCTGGTGTGACAGCTCAGAGGATGTCTGCTGTGGCAGTGACCTTGACTCTGATGTCACCACAGACTGCTTCCTTGCAGACAGTGATCAGACCCTGGACTAAGTGGGCCTTCACCCTGACTGCTGATGATCAAACTTAAATAAATTGGAAAATAACAACTACAGAGGAGAGACAGAGTGGTGTGGGCGGGAGAGCCCCAGAACCTCTTAAGAAAGCAAGCCAGAGCAGTGTCTGGATTGTCATCCCACATGCTGCCCCACAGGACTGTTCACTGTGGCATCAGCCTCGCCCTCTGGGCAGTCTCTCTGCCTTCTGATCTAGACCCCATGTTGGGCTCACGGGCTCCTTGTATTAAATCTCTTTTTCTCCTCTGTTAGTCTGTATCTTGACAAAAATAACTGGAGAGAATGACACCAACTGGCGCTTGAAGTTGTCCCCGTCTTGGTGTTGAGTAAGTTGGCAGCTGCTCAGCAAAGCTCTGCTTCTCTTTCTGTCACTGCACTCTTGTCCTTGTCAGTGTTGACTTGGTGATGAGCTCCGTTTGCCCGGGGCTTGTCTTCCTGATAGACAGGTGCTTTGTTGTGGCCCATCTTTTTGCATTTCTGTATTTACACGCATCTGTGTATATATGCACACGCGCGAACACACACACACACACACACATACACACACACACACACACACACACACACACACACACACACACACACACACACACACACACACACACGCCCATGCTATAGCACTCATGTAGAGGTCAGACAACTCCTGTGAGTCAGTTCTCCTTTCACCATGTGGGACCTGGGGCTAGAACTCAGACTTCAAGGCTTGGCACTCAACACCTTTTTCTGCTAAGCCAGCTCACCTGTTGTAGCATGTAGTTTGTCTTTTTCTCCTCTCCCACAATCATCTTTTTCATTTATTCAATTAATAATAAAACTATCATGAGCTGAGCTATTTTTAGGCGTTATTTGTAATCTTCACAGGAACCTGGACATATATGTCCCACATACACTTAGAAATATGGAAACAGACATGCCTGTGTTAAGGTAATGAATCCTCCCAGACAATGGAGTAGGGAAGTAGTGGGCCTTTTTTTTCTTTTTCTTTTTCTTTTCTCTACGACTCCCAGAGATCCCCGTCTCTGCCTCCCAGAGCTTGGACTAAAGGCGTGCGCCTCTGCATTTGGCTAAGGCATTTTTGTTGTTTGCCATCGGCCTCATGTCACAAGTGTCACAGAGCTAGCAAGAGCAAAGCAGGGGTGAAAAGTTTATCTCGGACTCCAAAGTCTGCTCCTCCCACTGCTGCCGGCGGGGTAAAAACCGTGCTCTTTTCCCACGGTCCTCGCAGAACTCTAAGGTAACAAATGCCTGCAGCTTTCCCACATACCAAGCAGTTCTCCAGGATACCAGCCAGGTGTCCTGCACTCATTCAGTTCTGAGATGTGACTCGCCCTGAAAAGGAGCCCCATTCCTGGTGACAATCGTAAGTTGAGACCACACAAACCTAGCTCCCAGCCCCTCCTGTGATCTGGGTAATTAGCCAGGATGCTGCTCAGGACTTGGGAGGTAGGTTTATTGGCTTCTTAGAAAGTGTGCTGTGAAGGGTGCAGGTGAATAAGAATGGACAAAATGCTGGGAAGTGTGGCTCCACTCTGAGGCACCCTGTGTGGCCACACTCCCAGAAGCCACTGCTGCCTACTGTCTTGTCAGGATCTAGTGGGTGTCAGCAGTTTGTCTGGTGCTGCTGTGTGACCTCTGGCTCTGAGTGTCCCTACGCTGAGCTGAGTTGCCCTCATAGTGCCTCAGGCAGGAAGCTTTGTTCCAGTTCTAGGTGATGTGGCCTGACCAAGTTGGCCTGTGCTAGGTAATGAGCCTCCTGCTGCTTCCTCTGCCCACACTGGTGGGACCGGCTGTGAAACAGCAGTGAGAATTTAAGGTTAGGATTAGGCCAAGGATGGAAGGAGCTGACATCCTGAGATCAATGGGAAGTTAGCCGGGGGAGCAGGGCAGGCCACGCAGAGACTTTGCAGAACTCTAGCTCTATGAATGGCAGAATTCTCACTGCAAATGTGCAGCTCAAAGATGCAGGATTTTTTAATAAACAGAGGAAATGATAAATTATGTTGTAACTCCACTCTAAAGGCATTTGGTTCTTAACAGCCAAATCCTCTGTAGTCTTTAAATAAACAAAACTTACTTGGTGAACAGACGGGGGTGGGGGGGATGAAAGATTTTCAGTACTTGGGTTCCACATGTCAACAATTTTTCTCCTGTGTGTATGTTGGCCAAAGCCATATATCATGATAAATGAATAAAGGAAAGCCCGAGCCCAGGGCAGTGAGACGGCTCAGCAAATGGTTTTCAGCTGATTGCTCTATTTCAGTTGACATTTATCAAAGAAGCTCTGCTGTCCTGTGTGTTAGGGATATGTTGGTGGCAGGGACCAGAAGGTGACTACCTGACTGGGTATGCTGAGGTACCAGTCTTCAGGAGCTTCTCCCATGACAGTCTCTGTCTTAAGAGCTAGCGGGGCATGGAAGTTCCCCCACTAGCAGAATTAACACCTCCTGTGTTCAGTTTAGTGGCTCTCAAAGTGCCATGAAAAACTTGGTTTTAGCCTGCTTAAAAATCTTCCTTTTGGTGTATATGTGTACCGCACAAGTGTGCAGATCTCACAAAAGAAACAAAAATTTAAAAATGAAACTTCTCGGAATTGGGGAGATGGTTTAGGTGGTAAGAGTGCTTGCAGTGTGCATAGGACCTGACTTTGACTCCTCAACACGGAAGTATGTGCACTGGGCAGATGGACAGGTGGACCCCAGACAGACAGGTAGCTCCAGGAGCTCGCTTACCCCTACCTGTCCCAAGAGAAGAGGGGGATGGGATGACTCCTGACGCCCTGTGCACTGGCTTCTGTGTGTGCACACTTGTCGCCATGCACCCGTACACTCACATGTGCCTGCCCCACACACATGAATGTTCACAATAATTTCTCAGAAATCTCTGCTCTTAGCCCCATTTAAAGTGTGAAAAGAGGAGAACTATTGTGTTCATTTTCTGAAGTTTACTTTTCTTACCCGTGAAGCCGCCGTGGCCATCTGTCCATGTGTACACACAGACAGTCCCTTTGCCTGCTGCACTACTGTTACTTATTTGACTATAGTATTTTTTAATAATCCTGTGCATTGGAGGATGTTTTTACTTAGGTTTTTTTTCTTTTTCATGATTAGAAGATCACTGTTCACCAGATTTGCAGCTTATGAGTGTAACCTGACACTCGAGAGGCTGAGGCAAGAGGATCCCCTTGAGTTTGAGGCCAGCCTGGGCTACAATCCCATCTTTTAAAAAGTGGAAGCAGTGGCTCAGCAAGTGAAAGTGCTGGGTTTGATCCTGGGACCGACATGGTGGACGGAGAGAACTGGCTCCCTCAGGTTGTCCTCGGACCTCCATATGTGTGCCTCGATACACATACATATACATACTCACACAATAAATAAATGACAGTTAAATTTTTATTTTAAAAAAGGACCCCTATTCTCAGATGACCTGGTAAATTTCACTCTAAGTCCTGTAGCTACAGACATATTTATTGAATGTCCCCTGTGAACTAGGCAGCATGCTAGACCTTAACATGCATCACTCCACTGACACTTAGTTGATGTAGGTGCTGCTGTTAATTATGTTTGTGTCGCTTGCCCACAGCCATGCAGCCTGGCAAGCACTAGAGGTTTCAAACCCAGGTAGAACTTTGAAGCAGGTCCTTAATCCGTGTGCTGCACTGACGGTTATTCCAAATGTGTGTGGCACATCTGCTTGCATGGACAGTAATGGAAAAGAAGCACCTTGCTGGATAAAGCACCAAGCCATCTCTGATGAAAAGATAGCGTCCTCAGGCCCTGGCCCCATAAATCCACACCCCGGTGTTGGTGACTTTCTAGAACATGTTGGAGAACCTGCGAAATGACAGCCACATGGTCAATCGATACAGTAGTAGTGGCGGCAGCAGGTGCCAGGCTCACTGTGAGCCATTTGGTTTGCAGAATGCATCTGCGTCTTTACCCCTGGGGAGCCACTAAGCCCGATTCCGCTGTTATGAAAGAGACTTGCCATGAAGGCTCATGCTCCTGAAGCCCCCAGCTGATGCTTTCTCGGCTCTGTTTGAGCTCAGCTTCCACGATGCACAGTAAGGAGCAGACTCCGTGTGTGCATCCAGGAAACGGTGTTTAGAAATAGTGTTCTTAAGCCAAGTACGGGGCACACCCTTAATCCCATCACTCGGGAGGCAGAGGCAGGCAGATCTCTCTGAGTGTGAGGCCAGCCTGGTCTACAGAGCAGGCTACGCAGAGAAACTGTCTTGGAAAAAGGAGGAGGAGAAGAAAGAAGTTGTTAGCCTTTTAGTGAGTCTTAGACTGGAGTGGTCGGTCAGCCTTGCTAACAGCATTTCTTCATTTCTGTGCAGTTGCAGCTCTGTCTGGAGTCCAGGCCAATATCACTTCACGTTGTGGATCACCTCTGTGGAGTGTGTGTGTGTGTGTGTGTGTGTGTGTGTGTGTGTGTGTGTGTGTGTGTGCGCGCGAGAGAGAGAGAGAGAGAGAGAGAGAGAGAGAGAGAGAGAGAGAGAGAGAGAGAGAGAGCTATACTTTGTGGTGTTTTCATTCTCTCTCTCTCTTCATTTTTAAAAAGCCTTTCAGAGTCCCAGGCTGCGGTGTCTTCCCTTCTAGTGCTGGCCTTTCATTACCCTGAGCTGTCCTGAACCTTGCATCTTTTCTTTGCTTTTAAATTGTGACGAGAAGCACACAGTGTTAAGCATCTTAGCCATTTTTAAGTGCACAGTGGTGTTGAGCATATTTACATTATTGTCTAACCGATCTCCAGGACTCCTCACCTCAAAAGACTGAAACCCTACACCCATCAAACAAACACTGCCTCTGTCCCCACTTCCCACCCTTGGGGCCACTGCTGCCCCTTCTCTGAGTTGGAATTCTCTAGGATCCTCCTGTAGAGACGTACACAGAACCTGTCTGTGACTGGGCTATCGCCCTTAATATCCATGTTACATCATGTGTCAGAATTTTTTGTTTTCAAGGATAAAGACTATTCTTCCATTCATAAGTTATATCCAGTATTTACAACACTCCTTGCGGTTACTTCACGTTGATTGGTAACACTGGTGTGTTTGGAGAATCAGTTTACTCTATAATATTAACACTGAGAGGGAAGACCGGGTTGCTTCTGCTCTGAGGACGGTAAGTGTTGGCTGACTGAGCAGGTGGTCATGGCTGTCCTCTCTCATTCCATTCTGGGCCCCGTCAATCCTTCTGTGCTGTTATGTAAAGTCAACCTGAGGAAAAGGCCCCAAATTTCCCCAAAACCCTTTTACGCCCCACGCCACTGCCTGTAGAATTATACAGACTTCTGCCTCAAGTCTGTCAAGTACAGGCCATGTGCCTCCTCAGGATGTGACTCTCACAACCGCCCTCATACAACCACTGCTCAAGTGGCCTTGGCAGCTCTCCTCAGGTGGCAGGCCGCTGTCCCCTCCCAGCCTGTCCTCCAGCTGTTGGCTTTGCCTGCTGTGGGCTACCTTAATACCTGCCCCAACCAACAGGCAAAACCTAGCGAGACTCCATGGCCCTCTGTTCCACATCCCTCCCCGCACAGTGCATCTGTTCTCTCATCTCGTTCCTTGTGCTTTCTAGACTTGGATTTGCCTCTTTAGAATCTCACACCCTCACACTCAGCGGACCCCTCCCTTCTGTGTATCCTTACCTAAAGGATAGGCACCACCCACCCAGGTGCCATTTTATCCCCCTTCATTCTCTGTCCAGTAAGTCACCTCCTATCACCTCTCTCTTCAAAGTGATTCTCCATTCAAGGCAGATCATCAAGAGGTTCTTACAGGCTCAGCTGTGGAGATGTCCCAAGCAGGCCTCCACGGGGGTCTGAGCATT